TCAGGAAAAAAAAGAGACTTAACCTGTGATACTAATGCATTTGAAAATTGTACCTAGTCTGATGAAAACTTCAACTGATGGTAATAAGGACCCTGCCTGCATGTGTTCAGTAAATACATAAAATAAAATGCACAGAGACAACTCACTCTCAGGTTGACAGATGGAGTTCATGAAGCTAATTAATAGAAGATATTTAATTGAAACAAAGACCCATTTAGGATAAAGCTTTGCACAGATGGAATAGCCTGAATTTCCATGGTCTAAGACCATGGACCTTCTAATTATGTTTAATTTTGCTCTAAATTTGGTTAACATGTAAGTACCCAAAGTACTGCTTTTATAACTAGAGCATGATGATAAGTGAGTGTTCCTGAAGTGACAAAAAAAAGAAGGTTAACTTTGCACAGAACTGTGAGCTGTTTCCTGTGCTTGAAGTCCTGATTTCTGGTAATGTGTTTTCCTTAGTATCTTTGGTTACTTCCAGAAGTGGGGAGTATTTTTGAGTGTGTAGCCACCCCAGAGACCTCTAATAATACACTTAAGAGATGTCATATTCTTCATCCTGCTTCAGTAAATGCATAAAATGCATTTCGTGTGATGCCCTGTGCTTATGTTAGTAGATATAAACTGATCAATTTTCACTTGAGTTAGTGACTCCCAAATATGAATCAGGATACTGATCTGTTTCTGATGTTCCTGAGCAGTGCTTTCTGGGGAGTAAGACAGCTTGAAATATATCTATCACCTTTGTCCTGAAGATTCGCAACACAATGCAAACTGACAGCCATAAGCATAGAGCAACACTCAGGCTGCCTGGCCTAATACCACTCTGAGATAACTCAGTTCCCAGATTGTAGAGGCCAAGCTTCTGGTGGAGAAGAAAGGACTTCTATGATGGGGAGAAGCTCTCTAGTAACTTCTTGTACTGCTCTGTCCTTGTAGGTTCCCTTAATTCTTCTCTTCACTTTTCTCCTGAAGAGATTCAGGCTTAATAATTTTTTTAACATCTTTCTCCCACTCTTTCCCCCTTGGCTGCTTCATATGCATAGACAGAGGAAGGACCAGCTTCTCAGCGCTGTAGATTTTTTGGACATGTTTTTATAAAATAAGACAATATGTTCCAGCACAAGCTGACTCTGGTTTTGCAGTGGCAAGGAGAAAGAGACTTAGTGAACCAGCAGCAAGACTGATGTGTAGCTGGGGATGTGGGAGCTTAGAGTGGTGGAGAACTGGGCTGTAGTTATAGCAACAGATGGCTCAGCCATGGCTTGAGAGTTTCCACACAGTGTATGTGAGTTGGTGGCTGCTGCATTTGCTGTTGGTTGCTATCTGTTGTGCTCCCTGTGCAGCTGGTGCTGTGTCTATAATCAAGCGTCTATTGCTGTGTCAAAGGAGATAACCTGCAGTCAGGTATTATATATGATGGTAAGGCCTATAGGGATTTTGGCACCTGTTGGAGCAACCTCATGGCTATGACAGTTTCTTCCACAGAAACATGTAAGCACATGCAACACCCTCTGCCAAATAATGTCCTAGGCTCTGGGGAAGGAAGTTTCTGGGCATTTTGAGCAATCAGGACAGTGTCTGGTATACGGTTTAGATTCTGGGACCTATATCCCATCAGAAACTTCAGCATGGAAGACTTGTTAATTCTGCACCTCCTTTAAACCACAAAGCCCTTGCACAGCAAAGAACAGGTCAAATGTAAAACAGTACTTAATTGATTTTGTGGATTAAGGGCCAAATGAATTATCTGGCTATACTGTCCTTTCTTTGTCACGTTCAGTTAGGTAGTCTGTTTAAGAAAATTTTTTGGCGGCTCCCCCCCCCCCCCCTTTCCTTTGTCCCCTTTATTTGTATTACTCCAAAAGTTGAATAAGCAAGTGTCGTGGTTTAACCCCAGCCAGCAACTAAGCACCACGCAGCCGCTCACTCACTCCCCCCCCATCCAGTGGGATGGGGGAGAAAATCAGGAAAAGAAGTAAAACTCCTGGGTTGAGATAAGAACGATTTAATAGAACAGAAAAGAAGAGACTAATAATGATAATGATAACACTAATAAAATGACAACAGTAGTAATAAAAGGATTGAAATGTACAAATGATGCGCAGGGCAATTGCTCACCACCCGCCGACCGACACCCAGCCAGTCCCCGAGCGGCGAATCCCTGCCCCCCCCTTCCCAGTTCCTAAACTAGATGGGACGTCCCATGGTATGGAATACACTGTTGGCCAGTTTGGGTCAGGTGCCCTGGCTGGGCATGAGAAGCTGAAAAATCCTTGACTCTAGTCTAAACACTACTGAGCAACAACTGAAAACATCAGTGTTATCAACATTCTTCACATACTGAACTCAAAACATAGCACTGTACCAGCTACTAGGAAGACAGCTAACTACATCCCAGCTGAAACCAGGACAGCAAGGTGTCTTCAGCCAAAGATGTGGCAGGAGGCAGTTGTCTGCAAAGGGAGATGCTGAAAGTTACACTTTTGAGTATGCAGGTCTAAGGAAAAGCTTGTCTTCCTAATAAACCATTTCACTTTTGCATGTCTCATCAGCATTGTAAATATAGAGCACTTCTCTGCAGCTTAACCTGCCATCTGGGATTGAATTCCAGTAACAACCCACCATAAGGAGTAAGTAATGAATAAATGTGAGTCAGCTCTATTGTTAAGAAATACAGCTTTGCAAGTTCCTGCTGTAAATTTTACAGAGTTTTTCCCCTCTTCTGAATTAGAGATCTGCCAAATTGTCATGAAACAATTTGGATGGTCTGCAAACAGAGATGTTTTCTGGATAGCATAGTGAAATTTCTAATAATTGAGAGCCCTTCTGTCTACAGAAACTTTTGCTTGTTTGTTTATTTTAATAACATGGGAGGCAGGAGATAAGAGCACAAGCTGTCATTAGAGCTCTGCAGATACCAAAATGGCCTCTAGCTGTATGAAGACCAGCATACAAAAGTACTTCCATAACGATCACAACAAAAATATTGCTCTTACCAAGGCACTTCTCAACTGCAAAATATTTCATGAGTGCTAACCACTTGGCTGTGTTTCCAAATCAGCAGTCACTGTCTGAGAAGCCATCTCAGCTACATGCGTAGGTGAAAGCTGGAGTTAATTGCATAAGTCAGTAAGTTGCCACATTGCATTATTTTTTAAAAATCTCTTGCAAATAAGTATGTCATAAGCTACTGGAGGCTGATAGAAATAGGGATAGATCTAACAGAGCTTTTGCTGAGAATTTGGCTGTGATACGAAGGGCAAGATGTATCTATAGGTGAGGAAGGAAAAAGGGAACTAGTGGCTGTGCAGCCTTGTAGTGTGAGTGGGAGAATGTGCTGCAACAGACTGTATCAAGGGGTAGTTGAAGTCCTTGAGCCTTCTTCCTAAATGTAATCTCATTTATGGCATTGAGACACATTAGCTGTGCTTGACCTTTGGTAGGGGAAATGGAATTTTGCAAGTTTTTTAAACACTGTCCAGAGTGTGGGAGGAAGTTTGTGACTTGTATAATGCAGTGCCTCCTGCATTTCCATAGATATGCTGCATAATCTCAGTATGTTACATGGAACCAGGAGAAAAGAGGGCAGGAGGAAAGCATCCATTTGTATGAAGCAGTGCAACAGTGCAAATTCAAAGTGCAGAACTCAAGAACTGACAAAGCACAAGCAGGAACAGTGCTGGTGACATTCCTGTGGCCACGTACTCAACAATCAATTTTCAAATACCACTCTTGGACTGTGCTTCCTTTCACTTCCCATTCAGAAAGCATTGAGACTGTTGCCAGTTGGTATTATTTATGCTAGTATACTAGTATCAGTCTTTTCTTTATAGGAAAGAAAAACAAGGCTACTGCCATTATTCCACAAAGGCCATGCAATATCCACTAGCAGAAACAGTTTTGTTCATTACCAGGCATGACTTAATTCAAACTATGATTTAATATGTGTGGCCTTTCATTTAATTTCCAACCCTAGCTTCAAAACAGATCTGTTTGCCCAAACAAAGAAATTTAGGTAATCTTGTAGAAGTATATCAGCATAACATTCTTGTCTATGTATCTTAGAGAGGATGTTTTCTTAAAATAATAATATGCATGAGTTGCCATAGTGCTTGCACTAAGGAGGCTGAGATGGTCCAAAACTACCGTGTTTATTTTCTGGATTTTTTTTTCCCTTGGAAAGATAAACCATGCCATCTAATACATGTGATCTCATGGAAAACATGACACTCCTCTGTGACGGTCTGACAAATTATGGTCAATGTCTCAAACATTCACTGGGGAACTTTGCTGGAGAAAATGGCCTCTGTAAGAATGCTGGAGTTTTGTGAACAGGACAATGTGGCTGGAGGAGAGAGCCCCACAGAGGGTGTGACTGCACTTCTCCAAAGCCGCAATTCCTTGTCTTAAGTGACCAGGAGAAGGAGCACAGCATATGCACCTAGAGGAGGAGGCCCCATGGAGGATGGGACTGTGCTTCTATCTTAAGTGGTCATGCCAGCAGAAAAAGAGAGGCAACTCTGCAATGACCCCCTCTCCCGTCCCCAAAGCTCACCGACCCATTCCAGAGAACCTCGGGAATGGGAACTGTGCATGTCGAGACCATCGACTAACACACTATAAAAGAAGGGAGAACGAGTTCTCAGTGCACGCCCTCCGGAACTGGATCTCTACGCTGGCTGGACCAATGCTGGACCCAGGACTGGTGAAACCCTTATCTTCTCTCTCTCTCTCTCTTTCTCTCTCTCCCTCTTTTCCTTCTCTCTTTTCCACAGTCCCTACACCTCATCCTTTTAAACATAAACTGTTGACCAAGTCTGAGACTAGGAGTGGATCTAGACACCCCTGGGCTCCTCTTTGAGAAGGACTCCAGAAAGCAAGGGGGTCTGCTCTGAACCTTGTGACTCAACAGGAGGGCTCTCCTTCTGATGCAGTTTCATGTTCCTTTTTCCATTTCTTTTTCTATACTTCCCTCCTCTTCTCAAACAGCGGCTTAATGACATGTTGCAAGGTTCACATTAACAAGTTCATGTGTACTTGGACAAAGTTAGCTAGGTTGAATAAATGTTGATTGTTGTTTGAACTCCCCTGGTGTCATTTCACCTTAATTCTGACAAAGGAAATCCATGAACCTGAGTCACTCCAAATTTGGGACGCGACATCCTGTCCACCAATTGTTCAACAACTGATATTTATAAATGTGTGACTTCCTTATTCTGCTTTTCAGTTTTCTGGTGAAGTCTACAAATAAGCCATAAATATAGATCTTTTTTATTTTTTCCATCTCAGGAACTTTGCCCAGAGAACAAGTTAAAGCTGTGACCACTTTTGTTTGATAGACTGCTACATTTCTGTACATATGTATGTATGTATTTACTTATATGTATGTATTTCTAATGCATAACTATGAGCTCATAGAAGCGATCTCTAAAATACCTGAGACATATCCACGTTTTTGCAGAAAACCCTCTTCAAAGTGCTGAAATGTGTTGTGTGTTAAATCTGCATGAACCTGAGCCATCTATTTTTTCTTATTACAAAAATATTGTTATGCTAATTCATCCTTATTTTTTGGCTCTGTGCAAGTCCAGATTTTGATTATAATGAAAGAGGAGAAAAAGAAATTCAGACAGTCCTGTATGAAGGAATAACAGACAACGGCTTTTACACACTTTGTTGCAATATGTAGTGATGGCTTGAGTTTTGCGGTAGAAATTCCTTACTGAAATGGCCTATATCTGTTAGTCACTCATGTAGGGACTGCACTAATGGACCACAAGCATGGCTGTTACTACCAATACTGAATTATATAAAGGATGGCCAAGGTAAAGAAGTGGGAATATATTAGTCAGTCATCAGTTATCTGTGTGTATCAAGAATATATACCCTGAAGTGTAAAGCATCTGGACAGTGAAAAAGGGAAAAAGGGTTCTGTGAAGGTAGGAGTTTACTTCAGACCATTAAGATAGGGAGATCTGGGGAATGAGGTTATTGTCCTGGGCAAGTAGAATATTATTGAAAGTATGAGACTAGCTGGGTATGGAGTTTATCTGGATCTGCTGGGAATGCAATTGAGCAGCAGAGACTGTCTACTGGGTTCCTGCAGCTTAGTGAGAGGCATTTTTAATGAAGAAATTGGAGAGAGGGCAACTAAAAAGGGCGATCTTTCAGACCTGATACTTACTAATCTGTAGGAACTGATTAACAGTGAAGGTAGGATGCAATTTGGGTAAGTAAGTGTGACAATAAAAAATACTTTTCAGCCTTCTCAGGAAAGACGAGGAGACAGCAACATAAAAATGGTGGCTGCCTTCTAGTATTTATTTGAACTGCAGTCTTTCTTGAGGCTATGTCTCCATCTGTTTGCTCTGTGCCCAGGTATTCCAGAACCTGTCCTGTTAACAGGCTCACTCAGAAAATGATTCCTGCTCCTTCCTCACATCCAGAAGATTTAACACTGATGAAGAGTGCAGTAGTGAAGACCAGGAACAATGCAGCTTCCTCTCTAATGCTAATGCTGCCTCTTTAGCAAAGCATACAGCATATAGCATGTATATTATTTTTCTTCAGACAAACATTCAGCTGTTCTTTCAGGAGAACCATGAGTGAAATTTAAAGCCAGTTAGCCATGGAGAAGTCTGTGACAGTGCTCACTGTGTGACACCATAAATCTATAGAAGCCTTACTGATTTTTTGATCCAACTCCAGCCAGTGTTTAAGGAGTTCTACAGTTTTGCTGCTGCTTTTCTGGTTTTTGTCTAAATGCAGAGGGCAGATGGACAAGATGGGGGAGATGAGGTGTGTATTCTCTATCTTCTGGTAGCTTGGTGTTTGGGTTGGGAAGTTGGAGCAAAGCACTGTCAGTCATTTAGAATAACTAGGAAACCAAATGATCAATTGTTTGTGTTTAGGTTTTACCGCACTGTAACATGATCTGAGGTATATTGGGGAATTCTTAGAATTATGGTTAATGCATTGAAAGATAAAGAAGAATATAAGTAAATCATTTTTATCCTTCTGGTCCATGTTTTGGTTTTAAAATTGGTTGTTCTCCATGGTAAAGTGACGGCTAATCTGAGGACACCTACAGTGGAGGGAAAGAGAGCAAAGTATTGAGGAAACAGGAGTTTAGGAAATGATAAAGTGGGATGATGTCAGGGGAGAGAGACATCTTTCAGCCTAATGCACCACCTAAAGGATGGTTAAAATTTCCCAGTAGGAGGAGCCAACATGGATAATTTGACAGGATGAACATGTTCCCAGTGATACCCTGGAGAAAGAGGAGAGAAAATGATGAGTGGCTGCATGGCAAAGTACGTATATACCTTCCCCTGCAGGTGTGGAAAGGATTGACAGCTCTCTGGCAGAAGAAAAGTAGAAACACGAATGTAAGCAGAAATAAAATAGGTGACAAGTGAGTGCCTTGACTGTCTCCAGCTATGTGGTATTTTTTGTTTTGTGTGCTGTTTTCCTCAGGAGGGTCACAGACAGCAAACAGGAGAAGGTAGAGTGGAGATCCAAACATTTAATGACAATCATCTAGTGCAGAAATATCAAATTGGTAAAACAACTTTGAAACAGACAAAAAGAGGGAAAGGAGGGAAAGATGGCATTATTTAGTATTTGTGAAGGAACTCTGTGCAAGTGATATGTGAGGAAGAGCTCTTGATAGTAACTGCTTGACTGTGGAACATGTAGAAAAGTTTGCTAGGTACAGATTATAGCATGCTCTGACACAGTGGATTTGGCTCTGAAGCAGAAGTTGAAGTGCCCATATGTGATCAGGCTGGATGTCTCAGCAAGGGTGCAGCAGACTATAAGAACAGGAGTCAGGAGCAACTGCAACAGCTTCAGCTACTTCAACCACGTGTGCACAATCATATGCAACTGTGATGGTTATGAGTTGAAGAAACAAATTTCCCGTAAGTCAAGCAGGCACCTCTGGATAGTCTTACTGCTAGGAACTTAAGCTTAGTCTCTTATTTCAGGTTTTTTTCTTTTTGGTTTACATGCTTGTTTCTCCAGTAGCGAGGAAGCTTGGAAGTCTTGTGTTCACAGCAATGAAAAAGCAGAGAATTTTTTCTCACTTTGCATGTTCACAATACAGTAAGAATAAAATAAGCAGATATTGCCTTTCTGTAAACAGTGGTGCAAGGTAACGTTGCAAGAACATTTTTCATGAGAACATTTCGAAGTTGTTTGTGTTTGTCATATCCAGACAAGCACAGGGGAGAACTACTTAATATTTTACTCCAAAATGAGGAAATTTGACCTTTATGTTATTTGACAGATGAATTTGCAAATAATTTCCGAATTTCTGATCGTGAGTTACTCATTAAGAACAACTTCAGATATTTTGACTGGAATGTGTGATAGCTGAATGTCAGGTCTCTTACCTTCTAACTGAAAATTTCAAAGACTTGAAAAAAGAAAATCCATAGTGGTGTAAGATTGTAGCAACCTGGAAGACTGCTTTCTTGCAACTGTCTCCTCTACCTCTGCATGCTATAATCCTTTCAGGTTTTGGTATAAATTTTTAGACCATGCTGTCTCCTTAATATGCTAGCAAAGGCAAAAGTGAGACTATAAGAAGGCAAAGCTGGGGTTGTAACAATTTGGTTGCTATGGTTGCTTGAGGACATGCTTGGGATGGTGAAGATATGGGACATTATTTTGGAGGTGACAATTATTTGGAGTGATACTTCTGAATGAAACTGCTGTCCTTCAGTTCTGATGTATTTTAGTTGTCGTGCCTTACACTTGCTTACAAGTAGGATATCAACCCATTTCAAGCTTTTAATTACCCTTTTCAGCATAGTGCTGTGCATTATCTGGCTTGGGTCAAAAGCCATCCTTGCTAAAATCAGGAGTAAGGCATCTGCAGATTTGAGCAGGATCAATGCTGTTGGTGGTATCACATTCTGGATTTAAGCTACTATGTTTGTTGTGAGCCTGTGAGCTGCTTCAGCCACCAAAAAAAAATCCCTAAACCAACCACTTTATATTAAATATGAGTTGTTTTAGTATAAGAGTGTTGAATCTGTGAAAGAGATAGTGATACTGTGTACCTGATTTGGCTAAAGGATGGAACAGTGCAATAGGCTTCTTCCTACAACACTGAATCTGCACCAAAAAAAGAGAGGAGGCAAATTTTTCCATGAAGTGATGCAACTCTGCTATGCTGAGGTCAACCCATCCTTAGCTTTCTAATTGTATTCCTGTTGAAATGTAATGAGTTTTCACATGCTGAAGCTGATAAAAATTGGAAGATTTCACTATCCTGTGAATTCTGTCAATTCTTTTATGGATTTGTAAAAATAACAATTTTGTATGTGTGTCTTTTTAATGTCTGGTAGGTGCTTAAACCACATGAGTTCTCCTACCAAGAACTTACCAATGCAATATGGCGCTTTAGTTTGTCATTCCATCATTGGTTTCTTCATTTCCTCCAGACTGTGATCTACAGATCTCTTCACTGTAGCAGTGAGCCATAATTCATACAAAACAGTTTCAAGCTCTTTGTATCCTACCACACAGCAATATTGGCCAGAGTCCAACCCAGAGGAAGGTGAAACAGCCAGCATCACTCCATCCATCAAGGTAGCCCAGGCACCTTGAAATGAACCACTACGTTGCAGACAGCCCTGAACCAGAGACAACTGTTAAATTTAGGCTCTGTCCTACAATCCTGTCAAAGCAAACCTCATGCCCCCACCCAGAGAAATTGTGTCTACTTGAATACTACAGGACTAGACCCTAAACCAGCTTGTCATCAGAGTATTTTTTGGGTGTGTCCCAAAGTCACTTTATAATAGGAGAGAAATACGTTCTATTTCAAGGTGGCGTGTGGAAGTTATATGTTGTTCTGAAAAGCCTAACTGAGATTTGGGGATCAGGAGCCCGTTTTTTGAGTTTTCTGTCCTACTTTATGCAAACAGTTGGACAGTTTGAAGGACGGTGGACATCTGGATATTGGACAGAAGGATAATTGGACAGTTTGAGAGAGAGTGGGTACATGTGAGAGATCAGATTTCATAACCAAAAGGCAAGATCTGAACAGCTTATGCTAAGAATAATTAAGGGGTGGGTTGCTTTTCACCTCAGATGGTTTCTGTGGGTTGAGCTCTTTGGATAATCTACTTCTCAGCAGCTACCAACAACACATCATGCGATCCTTCCAGCCCCCTCCTCAAGCCATCTTATATTTCATGCATCATATTCTACCTGTTTTTTCACTTTCTTAATTGACTGCAGTGATGCCTGCAAACAGGTCTTTAGAAACCTCTATTTGACACCACTTTCAGAAAGATTTGTCACCTAATCTCAAATGGCTACAGAGCAGATGTCTGTCTCAGGAAGTTATCAAGTCATGCCTAATATGTAGTGAAAAGTTAAAAAGCACTTTAAAAAAGCAGTTCAGCTGGCCTATTTTGCACATCTTTCTGGGAAGTGAGCAATTGAGAAATATTTCTCTTCATTGACTGGGAAGGTAGATAGTGCAATACTATGTGTGTATGTATTGTACAGGTCTGCACTAGGTCAGATAAATTCTGCTTCTGCAGGACCTCATAAAACTCGTCAGTTTGCTCTTTAGCCTTCAGGAAAGCCATGGTTTCCCAAGATTTTCCTATAGCTATCTTTAATTCTTAATTAAAAGTTATATGTAATTATTCAATGCATTCCCAACATTAGTGACATTGTTCAGGAGCAGTGTCTCTCAGTGGATGGAGCACTAGATAAGGTTTTTGCTCCTGGGTTTCTCCCTGGCTCACTGGGGACCTGTCTCTTCCACTGTTTATATTTTGCGAAGTAAGAACTGAAAAAAATCATACCCACCTCCATTGAGACTAACTGGACTGTATGAATTGTTCTGAATTTTTTTTGTTATTTTTTTTGAATCAGCCTTCTCCAGTATTTTTATGTTTAGTTTTGGAATTATATAGGGAATTAGTTTTGGTTCTTTGTGCTTGTCAGGGTAGCAGAATCCTTGGTAATAGAGAAGCAAATATGTTAATTGTCTTTGTCCCACTCTCTGATGAACTGCGTGTGCTTTGCATTATCTTCATAATTCTTCTCTGGGGATCTTCCAGCAAGAGACCTGCCTAAAGTGTATGTAGGAAATCTGAATCTAGCTGATTTCTGTCAGCACAGACCTCACACAGTGAGCTCAATCATGCCAACCTATGGCCATATATTGGGCAAAAAGTAAGATCTATCTTTTCCCCATTTTCATCAGGGTTTGCAAGAAGTGAGGGAGTAGAGAGAAAAATCTTTCTCCATGCGTGCCTTACAATGCTTTTGTGAAGTTACAGCCTTCCAAATGGTGCCCTTGTGCAACTCCATTGGACTCTGTGTAGTTGTTTTACAGAGACATATGGGAATTTTCCTGGACATTGGGAATCCCAGAGCATCACTAAGACCATTTACAACCTTCTGGGTCAGCGGGGGGCCAAAAAAAAAAAAAAAGGAAATTTGCAGAACTTTTTTTTTTTTCTCTAGTCTAGTTTAGAGAAGAAAGATGAGGTGCAATGTCTGGATCCTCTAGAAGACAATTAATGGAATGATTCTCCATCAAAAAGTGCAGTTTCATCAAAATCAAGATGTTTCACAGAAATATGCTACATTGAACAGGAGTTTTGATGAAGAGAAATTTCAAATAAATTGCTCTGATGTTCCCATTTCATTTCACTAATATCAAGCAGTTGGCTTTCTAAGAGAAGCATGAGTCATTTTGATAAGGTAGGATGCCTAAATGTTATTATTCCAAATAATTTCACTTGGACTCTAATGCTAACATTTATTTTCACAACATATTATATTTCATGGATTCTGTTTAATATTTGAATATGAATTCAAATCTAAGCTAACCAAGGCAATAAATCAACTCTAATAAGTAAATAAGGTGAAACATTTTGACATTTAAAAAACAAATTAGGTCAATATTGTGTAAATTAAATTTTTGCTAGTCCCAACTGGAAATATGTCACAGTTTTTATTTTGCTATGTATTTTCAATTGTTTAGGTTTTTCTTCTGATTGAAATAGAGTTCTGACCTGCTCCAGTGGCATCTTTTCTACTGCCATTACTGCTCAGGATCTTGATCAATGAAGCAATTTGGTTCTGGTGACAGTGGTGTCACAGAGAAGCCAAATGCAGCATGGCAATTAGTGCACTGCTAGATAGAAAGAGATAATTTGATCATCGCTGCAGAGTGCTAAAAGATTTCCCATTTTACATTAATTTCTGCTCAACTGCATATTGGGCAAAGAATAAGGTTAGACAGCTTCTTCCTAATATCCTTAGGGGTTATGAAAGCAATGCAGCTCCACTTCTTAAAAGTAGAAATTATCTGGCAGACAAACATGTAACCCTGTAATCTGGAGACAAAATCTCTGAGACAACTGATGGGACTTCCTTCCCTGTCAGATTATCAGTCAGGTATTGTAATTCAACCTGTGCTTCAGTGCACATAAGGAGAGATGATATAGGTTAGTCACTATTAAAAATACTGAACATCCCTGGGCTATGTGTACTGTTGTGAGGGGCAGTAGGTCCTCCTCTGAGTGATTTAGTAGCAGAACAAGGAGGACAGATCAAGGAAGTACTTTTACCCTGAGGCTGAAGCATTGATGCCCAGAGACAGTAACAGACTTGCCAAGACCATAGTCAGTCTGTGGCAAAGTCAGAAACTGAGTTTGGAGCGCCAGACTATCACCATTTATCAGATCATCTAGGAAAAAGAAATTTGGTACTCTTCTATTTTTTGCCTAAAAATTATGCTGTCAATGGAAATATATAATAAATTTATAGGAAAATTAATAATTTCATATTTTAGTGTTCAGGTTTCTTTTCATATGCTATGACCTGAACTGTCATTTACATTTCTGCTTCTTGTTGAAGTCAACACATAACCACATCCACTTGTGTGTACTGCAATATCTGACCTGTTCCCAGCTGACCTCAAATAGGCATGTTTTCCTCTATCTCCAGTGAGAACCAGATTCAGAACAAATGAATATGGTTGTTTTCCCTCACAGAACAACTTCTACTTTAAGGATAGAATCAGGAAACCTAATGTTTTGCCAACGTTTTTTAACCATCCCATACCTCAGATAACAATGGTCCTGTCAGTAGAACAGACGAGAAAACAGGATCACAAGTGGACTGTTGCATTTGAAAGGTTTCACCCCAAATTACTAGTAGAGACAAGAATTTAACTCAGCAGTAGAAAAACACCTTGAGAATGTTAATTCCACTTGAATCTCAAGACTTTTTCCTCTCTTGTTTCTTCATTCACAATCCCACACTTTTGCAATCACATTCATTGCCCTACTTGCAAAGAGCCAAGGCTTTTAAGTTCAGAGCAAGAATTTTTAATTCCAATGTATCCAATTTTACTGAATCTTATATTCAGTATTTTACTCATGTCTTCAACCATATTTGTCATTTACTTCTTCCTGCCTCCCAGCATTCTATGTGGCAAACATAGTACGTACTAGGTGACACACACCTATATGCTAATTAATTATTCTTTCGCACACCAGAAATGCAGTGTTTACCACATTCCAAATAGGAAAGCACCATTTGTAGTAATATAGTGAAAAGAATCAGAGCTTTAAGTATTTCAAGTTTTAAAACATCCATAAAAAGAATGCCTATAGTGACTCAGACCATCTCACTACTTGTCTCTGACAGTGGCCAAATGCTTAGGAACACATAGGATAGGGTTAGGCTTCTCCCTTTACATCCTCCATCTTCCCACAGTCTGTGGCTTAGGAAACTCATATAGTATTGTTTTCAGCATGTGTCTTTTATTAGCACTCAGTAACATTTTTTTCCATTAACTTTTCTTGAATTCTTTGTATTGAGTCTCAACAACTTACTGTGATAGGGAGTTTCCTGCTTTAACTGTACGCTGTATGAAACAGTATTCCCTGAAAATTTCATTTGCTTCCCCATAGCTCTTGTATTGCAAGACACAATGAATAATTGTTCCCAATCTACATCCCTCATATTGCTCATAATTTTAGGTACCTCTGTCATATACCTCTTCAATTGCTTTCCAAGCTGCAGTGTTCAATCTATTTAATTTTTCCTCAGAGATGAGCCATTCCATGCATTAGATGATAATTTTCTTTCTGTGTCTTTTCTTCTAAGTAAGAGTTAGGGAAACAAATATTAATTACACTAGATATAAGAAGACAAGATGACTGCAGCAGAAAAAAATGTTGCTGCAAATATAGTGTGTGATTTCAAAGTAGCTGAGGGGTAGCTAAAAATAACAAGTCAGCAAAGTAACACACAGATGCAATTTCAGGGAGGTTGAATGAAATGCTCATGAATTAGACTATTGAAAACAACATGTTAGTATTTAAAAAGTGATTTGGCCTTGATTTAGTGCTGAAGTAAATAGGAACAGTGGTAGGCCAGTGTTACTGGTGCATATGAAAATTTCACTCCTAAGGACACTGCTATACTTTGAGCTCCCCTGGCTAGCTTGTTCTGGATGTTGAACACAACAAATAAAATGGAAAATATTCACTGAGCAGAGACGAACTCTGGCTTTGCTGTATTTTGCATAGAAGGAAATATGTACTCTCACAAAGATCCAATTACAACTAATGCAGTGCCAACACAGTGATCTGTAGAATGTAGATCTGAAAGAGAATTCTGCAATAAAAGATTTAATTTAATTAATTTAATTTCAATTAATTGGAGAGAGGCATCCAAACTTTGAAAACCTGTTGTGAGCCTGGGCCACCTTTAGGTCCTACTCTGGGCAATAGTGCAGTATTTCTTTTCCTCCCCTAAAACTTGGGTTTGTTCAGATTTTGTATGTAGGGCTTCTAAATCTTGAAAATTGTCATAGCTGGGAAAAAAGCTTCCCACCTGTACTCCTGAGCAAGGCAGACAGCATGGATTACTCTGGAGGTGGGACAGGTTGAAGCAATGGCTTCTATAAGAGGGACTGGAAAAGACCAGATTTGGACATTTTCAAGTGGAGCCAGGGTGTTTTGAACACCGTTAGGTGAGAATGTGAAGGAAAAATAAAGTGGGAAGATTGGAATGTATTTTGAGAGGGGGGCAAGTCACCACTGCAACCTTTTCTCCCACGCTCATGTTGCAGAAGGGAATATTATATATTAAGGAGATACCTGAGTCACCTTCAAGGACAGAACCCTTAAACATGGCAGTGGTCACACAGTGTTTGAAGGACAAATGGGTTATTCCAAAGAAATCTTATTACATAGACATCAATATTTAAAAGGCAGATGTTTGTAGGCAATGGAAGCTAACTATCTGAGGGCTGCTAGAATATTTTCAGGAGGAAGATGGGACTGACTGAAAGGGATTGGAGTAATGCATAATATTTTCTAATGTTAAAATATTGCTATAAACCCAGAAATGTGAAGAGGAGTACAGAAGTGCAATGTCTTTGCCTCGACTAAGGAATATCAAATCCTTTAGACAGTTCCTCACATTTCCTTGCTTTGTAACCAATTTTGAACAGGTAGGTTAATGTCTTATGCTGTTTTTCCAAAGAAAATCTGAGCCTATAGTCTGTTATATGCTGTTAGAAAAAAATGCATGCAGAGTTCTAAGAATGAAACAGAACAAAACCGAAAAGCCTAAAGATTACATGAAAGTCAGTCAAAGAGGGTGTGTAATGTACTTACATATACAAGGTCATCAGCTGCTTGAATTCATTCAGCCTACAGCTGAATTCCCTTCCAGCAGTCCCTGAGGTGCTTAGAAACACAGAAGTTGCCAGTAAGCAAATTATTTTTATGCTGTGTTTTGAGAGAGTTCCTAAATCTACAGCTGACTAAAATTTCAGGGATTTTTTTCTACTGACTTTTTTTTTTTTACTTACAGACATACATATTTGCACACATATGCTCCTCTTTCATTAGACATTGTTTCTCCCTTTTGCCTCTTCCCCTTTCTCCCTTACCAGTAAAGAAGGCAGTGTGGAGGAAAAAGGAGAGAAAAATTGTATTTCTGCATGTTGGTGAATTTAAATCAAGACTGTTATAATAATTTTGTATATTTTGTTCAAATAGGCCTCTTACAAACACAGATGACATTAAAGTGATTTCCCCCCCCCATCAACAGTTTAGATTTAGTAGAAGCACTGTTGACAAGTCCTGACTTTAGTCTGAGTGTCCCACTTTGAGGAGGCCAAAATTGCCGTGGGCCAGAAGAGTCTGACCCCAAAAAGATAAATTAAGAAGGAGGTGGTAAGCAGTAAATGACAGCTGCAGCTGAAAAAGGACATAAAACTGTTTTTATGATGGTATGACAAGAAAAAAAACTAAGTTGAGGGAACATGGCTTTGCTAATAAATGAGGAATGGTGTAACTCTGGAAATTTTACAGATCTGAAATGATTTTAAGGAAGTAACTACTAAAGCAGCCTATGCAAAGAAATAGTTGCAAAATAGAAGCATAAATGGCTCTAACCTAACTAGGAGACATATGGCTGGGTTTCCTATGGCAAAACCTGGTATGCAATGCTACTTGGTGCTCTCAGGATGGACAATGGGTGCTACTTGCACTTTCATTATGAATTTGCTCTCAATCAGCCACAGAATTGCTTCAGGACCCATGCTCTGCCACTTATCCTTGGCATAGGGAAGCAAGCTGTAGTCCCCAGGATAAGCTCCCCTCACATGCACCCTGGGCTGGTCCTTCATGTTAATTGTAATTCAGTGAAGTGTCACCACAGGGTGCCAACAGGAACTTCTCAAAGGCACCTGCAAACTCTAAAACCCAAACAATAATAAAAAAGACTAGTTGGTTTCGGTGTGATACACATTTAACTCACTGAAAGTCTTAGAAATTAAACCAAAAAAAACATACCTCAGGGAAGAAATCTTGTACTTTCAGAGAGGCTGGAAGTCAGCTGCTTCACTCAGGATTTCAATTCTGCTTTTGTAGTATAAGGAGAGATGTTTGTAATGCAAATCACCCACAAAGGAAAGTGGATGATCCACTTTCCTCAAGCAACAAATCCTATCATAATCTTGCAAACACCATAAAACCCAGTTTACTCAAGCATTTGATGCATTTTTGTCCCCATGTGTTAAGCTGACAAGGCAGGATTTACAAAGTGTTCCTTGTGGGATGGACAAAAAGAAAA